GTTTGCTAAGAATAGGCGGTTGTCTGAGCATACTTGCAACAGACGGTCACCATTGTCTGTTCTCTGAGCTGCGACACCATAACATCCACCTAGGTGTCCTTCATTTTCACTTCGTCTACTTACTTGAGCAATAAAGTCACCAGCCATTAATACTATATCAGAGCGCCTTACTTTTTGGATGAGTTCCGAAAGCTTTCTGTAAAAATCATCTTTAACCTCGTCTGAACTGCAGTCAGTGGGGGCATAGGCAGATACGACGAAGAGGCAATGACTGGTGTATCTATCTTTCCGAGTCCTTACTGTCCCGTTTAGTCGGACAGCGCACAAGCGACTATTTACTGGGATCCAGTCAAGGAGAGATAGTTCTGCCCTACGAATCAATGCTATGCCTACGCCAGCGAGACCCCTGGAAGTAGCATCAGGGCTACCGGATACACGAAGAGTAAATCGAGCTGCTTCTTTATTTTAACAAGGTGAAATCAGATTAATGTCTTTACTAAGATCATGTATGCGCGTTCCCGAGACACAGCATACATCGATGGCACAAGATTCTAATGTCCTAGCTAAGAAAGCTTGTTGCCCTATTTGACACAATGTCCGTACATTAAATGCTCCAACATGTAGTCTAGAACAGGGTTTACTCGTGCTACTCACAGGAATCGAACCTAGTCCCTTCAGTGTTACTCACATACGCTTAAACTCTACACCACTGAGCTAGCCGACTTTGATCAATCTAACATTTTAATTAATATGTCTAACATATGCTTCATTCAAATTCATTTATTTGAATTTTTTTTCTCATACAAAAGTGTTATAACGCAAAAAAATAATGTTTTCTTTATTTTTTCTGAACTCAAATTAATGATAAATACAATAAATATATTTAAATAACTAGTCATTCTAATAAAGTACCGGTTTATTTAAATAATATTGATAATCATAAACATTGATATAACATTGAATAAAACATTGAACAGTAACGTCTAGACACAGAGAGAGGGAGTAAGTAGTTCATTGCGTGACAGCTTCGTACAGCTTCATCGGTATAGATTCTTCTTTTTTTTCAAAATAAAAACCTATTGACCAACTGAGATAATTTATTTGTTTTAATTCGACTACCGCTACGAATACTACTCACAATACTACTACTAATACTACTACCATTACTATACTACACGTACAAATCAACCAACACACCTAGGCATATAGATTAAAAATTAGTAAGCATTCAACATCAACTACTTACTACATTTCACCTTATTCTTGTGTTTTTACTGAAATGAATGAATTTTACTAAATGCAAATTAGATTTTTTTAAACGTAAACCTTTCAAAAAAATTGAATTGATCTTAAAGACACACATATCATCTATCTATATATTCAGTTTGTTCAGTTTTGTTCAATGTCATGAAAATTAAAACAAAATTAATGAGTTGGCCGAAAATTTCATTATTTTCATTATTCACTTGCTCTCTCTCTCTCTCTGTCTCTCTTTAAAAGTTTTGTTTTAACCGATAAGAGGAGAGGTCAACCAATCTTTTAAAAAAAAAATGGAATGAAATGGTTACTTGATATTGATTATTTTTTGCAAAAAATACACTGAAAAATATTTTTAATGAATTTCGATTCATTGTACAGTGTACTTTTTTTTTGTTTGTGCGGTCACATTAGTGCTAGATTAAAACAATGTTTTATCAATGTTCAAGGTATGATGACATTGTAATTATGAATTGATCAAAGTTTATGGTATTATGAAGTGACCTGGAAGCACATGATGCCTTTTTTATGACCAGATATGTAGGAATTCAATACAAGATCTTTTATCTTGACAGATAGACAGATACAATGCAGAAGTTCGTTACGTTAAGTACATTAGTTCAGGTTGCCATATCACATCGGCACACAGAGATGCAACTGTCAGTTCAAATCCAAGAGTAATAGTGATAGTAGAATTATTAGCAGTAATGGAGAAGATTAGGGAGCGAAGATATGATTCAAGAAGTATAATTCAGTGAGATAAATTTAGAAGGAGAAAGATAGAGATTATGAGGAATTCAGAAGGTTAAAATTCCATAGAATACAAAGAGTGGATGCACCTGAGCCATTGCAAACGATTTTGAGCCATGTCATTCAAGGTCTCTAACCATTGGTGACTTTCGTCTCGCGGGCCCCAATCAGGTAGCCTACATCTAACAACATGATTCAGTCCACTCGTCAGTGACTTCATGGATTTCTGCCATGTTTTGGTTTGGTCGCCTCTAACTTTCTTCCAGCCTACCCCTCACCACGAAAAGTCGCATGTCGAAGCAGTCGATGGTTAAGCATTCGTAACACATATCCCAACTACCTCAACTGATGAATTTTCACCACTTCATCTATTAATTTGTCATCCTTACCTTGAACTCGTTTCCTAGCGACAGCATTGCTTACTCGGTTGTCCCATGATACACGAGCAATGGTTCGGAGACACTGATGATCGAAGACTAATAGCCCGCGAATGTTCTCTACTCTTAAAGGCCATGTTTCGCATCCGTTTAGTAGGACGGAGCGGACTACTGCACAGTACGCTCGTCCTTTGGTTAGTGAGCGGATATCTCGCCTGTGCCATAGGTGACGCAACTTGGCAAAAGCCAATCGAGCCCTTTTGTCTAGAGCGCAAACGCTTAACTGTTACTTCACTGAATAGGCATCCATTGGTGTCAATCTTTAAATTTACTCTATCCACAGTTTTATGTGACCTCGTCGGTGGGTATTTGTCGCACATCCGACGTGAATGAAGTCCGCTAGTCAACACGTTTCGCTATAACTGAGGTTAAAGTTTCGTGCACAAGTCGAAAAGTCCTTGGTTCAATTCTTGCTTGCAGGTTCTACTGCTTAGAAATATCTAATGGTGATCTGACGCTAATCGATTCACGATACCAAAGAAATAGAACTGATTAATTGTTATCAATCTATTTTAATATGCAGATTAGATGCACTGAACTTACATTATTGTACCACTGGTACTGAGAATTTCTTTTCTGTTAAGTGTTACGTCCTAACACTAACTAATATGCAGAAACAAACTTTGAACAACCAATACACAACAAGAAAACGAGATTCGTTTAATCGGTCACTGTCAGACCATCATTAGAAACCTGGAACTACTGAACTGCCATTTCATCCTAGAATGTAACTCTTAAGTAGTACATATCCACAACCCCGCAAGCAGTAATCCAACAGAAGATCACCAGTCTCTCGCACAAACGCCTAACTTCTAGACCGCTAAATCCATATCCACTGGTGTGATTGTCTAACTTTCAATCAATCCACGATGTTGCCCAACCTTCATCTATTGCCTGCGGTAGATAGATATCTCCTACCCGACATGGATTGAACTGTGTTGGTCAAGACTTCTCACTTAAAACTGGAAGAATACATGTTGAAGCTAGTCATTAGTGAGCACATGAATGTTAATCATGAAGAGGATGTGTGAAGAGTGTTGAAACAAATGAATAACTGATTTTATATATGTGATGATTAGGCCTAGTATTAACTAGCACCGAACAGAGAGAAAGAATGCACCTACAATCTCACTTGTCCGAGATCAAGATAATCATTATATATATATATATATAAATATAAATATATATATATATATATATATATATATATATATATATATAATACCTTTACATGAACCAGTGAAAAAGTGACTGTGAATAAGGGAGACTGCAATTAATCGATTGAGAATAAATCAAGATTAGTAAAGTTTATAACAGTATTGATCAAGTCTTGTGATAAACTTATGATATCCGTTTGCTGACTAAAGGACGAGTGTACTGTGCAGTGGTTCGCTCCGTCTTATTTTATGGCTGTGAAACATGGCCAGTGAGAGTAGAAGATATTCATAGGTTACTGGTTTTCGATCATAGGTGTCTACAAAGCATTGCTCGTGTATTATGGGACAACTGAGTAAGGAATGCTATAGTTAGGAAACGAGTACTAGGCAAGGATGGCAGATCAATAGAAGAAGTTGTGAAACTTCATGAATTGAGGTGGTTGGGACATGTGTTACGAATGCCTAACCACCGACTGTCTCGTCTAGCTATGTTATGCGATGTAGGAATAGGTTGGTTGAAAGCTGGGTGTGGCCAAACTAAAACATGGCAGAAATCCATGAAGTCACTAACAAGTGGACTGTTTCATGTTGTGAGTTTAGACTAGTAGTAACGGATGGTTACAAACCACGAATGACATGACTCAAAACCATTTGCACTTGCTCAGATGCATTCATTCTTTGTGTTCTCCCAAATTCTAACCTTCAAAGTTCCTCATCACCTTTATCTTTTTCTTTTTAAGTTCATTTCACTATATTCTACTTCTTGAATAATATCCTCAAAATCTAATCTCTCCAATTACTGCTACTACTTCTACTACCTCTACTACCGTGAGATTCGAATTGACAATTGCATCTAACTGTGCTAATGTGGTATGGCAACATGAACTGATGTACTGACGTACGATGTCCTACGTTGGTGTTGACTGATTGATTGGTTGCTTGATTGTTACCGCTACTAGAGCATCCTCCTTCGATCAGCGAATCATATTTTTGGTTAACATTGTTTTCTGGCGAGTTAGATTTCCACACAATGTGGTCGCTAACTCCATCCATACCCAACACTCCTCCTTTATCCGTGTTTGGAACTGGCAGTAACCCTTGAAGGGCTTCAGGGAGAGTTACTACATAGAATCACTTTATAGAATAATAATACATTAAGATATCACAGTTAACATTTTAATAGAAAACACGTTCTCTACGGTATTAAAGATTGCTAATTCCATGTCCCCAAACCTTCACTTTTGTTAAATCTCAAACTTGAAACTATCTGTAATAATCCTAGAACAGTTCCAGATAAAGTTTGTGAATAAATTTCTTTACTATACCAAAAATTTCTAAATAAACTTATTGTCGTTTAATTTTTACTGTTTACTTTAAAGCCAAATTCAATGTCATCACAATGTTAGCTCAATCTCCTGTACACGAAACATCATTAGGCGGACATTATCAACATCGACAGAATTCCGTAACGACAACAACAACTACAGCACCAACACCATTAACTACAACTCGACCATTGCCATCATTCTCTTCTACAATAAATCAACAATCTTTGCCGACAACAACACATCAACCAGAAGAAGAACAAAACAACACTGACGAAAAATCGATCAACCCTCAACAACAGCAACACCGACCACAAACAACAAATCAATCCACCTCGTCCACTAATCAATCGTCCAATGATGCAGAGCAGACTTTACATAAAATCAAATCTCCTTCTGGTATTCCACGACTGTTTTCTTTGAATGAGTCATTGACTAACAGATTAAATAATAATAATCATAATAATAATAATCATTCGTCTCCGATTACTTCACCAAATGTGTCATCCAATGGTAAAACCTACACTACTACCAATCATACTACTAATAATCATAATTCAGTAGATTCTAACAAAATTTTCACAAATCATTCAACATCATTACAACAAATCAATAATATATTGAATTCTACACAAAAAAATTCTCAACCAACTTCAACATTCTCTTTATCACCAACAAATGATGTTGGTGGTGGTGGTAGTAGTAGTAGTCAACGTGTTAGTCGACCACGTACTATTAGTAATATGTCAACAACACAACCGGTTGTCAATAGACAAGATCGAGCTATGTCTGAATGTAAGTTTAGTGATTATTATTTTGTGTATTCAATTAAGTTTTTTTAATTTGTGTTGTTTAAATTATTAGACTGGAAAGAAACACGGTTATTAAACCAATTAAACTATGGGTTGGGATGGGACTACTCAACAGAGCGCATCCACGACTCCTGAACCCCGCAGGACTCAAGCCCAGGACCTCCGGTATTGCAGGCGAACACCTAACCATCGGACCACTGAGCCAGTACCCAACAGTGTTAATGTCTAACTTCAATCATTTCACGGTATTGCACAACCTCATACATAGTCTTCGGTAGTATTTACTGTCTACACCCGAACAGGTTGAACTTCACCGAAGACTGTGTATGAGGTTGTGCAACTCAGTGAATTGATCAAGTTAGACATTAACACCGTTAGATACCGGCTCAGTGGTCCTATGGTTAGGCGTTCGCCTACAATACCGAAGGTCCTGGGTTCGAATCCTTTGGGGTGCAGTAGTCGTGGATACGCACTGCGGAGGAGTCCTATACCCGGACGAAACGGCAGTCCAGTGCTTCCAGGTTTCTAATTAGGGTCTAACAATGATTGATTGATTGATGATTTCAAATGTGTAAAAACGCAAACCTCCAAAACTCTGCCCCGAAAAATCATAAATACATCTAAGTCCTGTAGTAGGTCAATTACTTACTGCCTGACTGATATGAGATTGAACAAATCAGGTAGTAGTAATTCGCTTAACATTACAAGTTCGAATCACCAACTACTGTCAAATAACAAGACAACTACGTTGAGCAGGCTTACCTAATGACCACCATGTCTGTTTGAACAAGAAACAAAACACCTCTGTAGTGAACGAGAACATAGGTGGGGCAAACCGAATTATATTTAACGAAAATTACAGAGTTACTCAGTAAAATCGGAAAACCATATCGTAAATCGTTCATTTGCAAAGGATCAGTTCATCCCATGGAACTGGACTGTTCCTGTTGCCAAACATCAATCCATTGTCACTCTTCATGCGTTTCATACAAATTCCATTGTGTTCTAACTAACTCTTCCTTTCTTGATCTTCCTCCATCTTCTGCTGCCAGACATTACGTTGACACTCACGTCATGCACTACTTATAAGTAGCTCACACCACACCTCCAAGTTTTATTTTCATTTCAAAACAAAACATTTTTTCTATAATCGTTCTTCAAAAAATTGAATATTGAATATATTTGTTTAACTATTTTTTTTACCGCCAATTTTAAATTCATTCATCAACAGAAAAATGTGCTTTAACTTTCAAAATTTGTTTAAGTTGATTTCAACTGCTTTTACTTTGAGTTTCAATAAATGTTAAGAATGATTTTATATATATCTATCATGTCATGTGATGTAGAGTATAATAGTTGATAAAAAAAATTTTTAAGAAAATGTTTTTTTATTTTCTGCATGAAATTCAAAAACAGGTTTATGGATAGATGATAACTTTGGTAAGAAAAAAAATTTGAAATACTTTTCTGTACTACTTAAAAATTTGTCTTTTTTTAAAAATGATTTTAAGAAAAATTATTTTGTGTAAACGTACTAGAGTTGAATAAAATAAATGATTAACTCTATCTCTTTATTTAATTATTTACTCGTGTTCGGCTCCCACCAATGGAGCATAGTAGAGACCTTGAATGACGTGGCTCAAAATCGTTCGCAATGGCGCCGGTGCATTTATTCTTTGTGTTCTGTCAAATCCTAATCTTCTGGATTCTTCAACATCTCTAGTTTTGACTTTCTAAACTTATTGAATCATACTTCTTGAATAATATCTTCTCATCCTAACCTCTTCGATTATTTCTAATACCTTAACTACCTCTTCTACTATTGGATTTGAATTGACAATTAGGTGTCTCTGTGCTGATGTGGTATGTCAACATGAACTGATGTGTACTTACGTACAAAGTTCTACGCTGCATCTCACTGATTGACTGACTGAATGGAGCAGAGGCCATCGACTAGCATTCTGCAACCTACGCAATCCTCAGCCTTCCTTTTCAGTGCTAATTAATTTCTGTTCAATCTGTCCATGCGTGTTTTCGACTCTCGGAGCAGAGTGTCCTTTGATCGACCTCATTATCCTTGACCTTGAGGATTCTAAGTTGGGGTTTGTCTAGTGAAACTGTCGGTAGTTTTGCACACTGTGTGTCCTATCCATCTCCGTCGGTTTTCTCCTAATTCGCTCTTCAGATGTAATTTGGTTTTGTTATTGATGATGTCTGACCAATGGATTCAGAGTATCTTGTGTAGACAACTGTTAATCAACATTTATTTCGCAAGTTTGAACTCCACACAATAAAACTGTGTTGACGTTTGTATTGAAAATTGTTACTTTGATGTTGACTGAGAGTTGTTTTTGGTTCCAGATGTTCTGTGATTGTAGAAATGCTGCCATTGCTGTGGCGATTCACGCCTTCATATCTGCATCAAATATACCTTGTCCGTTTCATTCCAATACGAACGATACTTTCAACAGTGTACTATTTCATTCCAAGAAACTCGGTGTTTTTATTAGATTGTTTCTGTTTCAAAGCGTACCTTAATGAGCGTGGAGTGTGGACGATAAGTGATGGATATTATAGATGGAGAAGGCAATAGAAAGCTTCATGCCATATCCTCTATCATCCATTCTTCATTTGAATTCGTTCATCTACCCAAATCATGCATCATTTTCCATCTCGTGACTTCCTGCTTGTTCTACCTCCCAACATCCAATATCCACCATACCTCGCACATACTCTAATGTCCATGATTTATCCTACATCCTCCATTCTACGTTCTCCATTCAACTTCGTTCAACAACCACCATCAGGGGATGGAGCATAATGTATAATGTGGGTTAGTGAACGTAGTTGAAGGTGTGTTACTGTATACTAAGTAAAAAATGAGACAATCAGGATTGAAATACAGTTTTTAAAGGTTGTTTTTAAGGTGACTTATTCAATATTGTCTATGATCACTTGATAAAAGTAAAACACCTTTTCTTGTTCGACTCAAATTGTTTCAAATGATATCATGAAAAATTATTCCTTGTAATCATCACAGTGTTCAACATAACATCAAACGATTCACTCTCTCTCTCTATAGATGATAGGTAATTTAACACTCTATCTCGAAATTATAACTGGAAACCAATAATTGTAGAACAAACTTCAACCTGTTGGAGTTATATATATATTTTATGGACAAACTAATGAAATGGTGACTGTTGTCACATGATCATATGAATTTGAGATAGTGGAGAAAATTTGTGACTCAGGTGAATGATTGTGACGGCGTTTCATTCTCTCTGAGTTAAGAATATTTTGGTTGTGGAGCATTCATCATTTTTCTTCATCTGAACAACAACTCCATTCGTCAGCAGCAGCAGTAAAAACTTCAAATAGACTATTGTATTTCTGGACGATATATTCATTCACCTATATATATAACTGCAAGGGGATATTCAACATTATGACTGTTGTTGATTGGTAATTGTTAGTGTTGTAACGCTTGCTTAGATAATTCCAGGCTAAATCCTATTGCTCAGTGTATTCTCTGACCACAAACAATACACTGGACAAGTTCCAAAGAATCAAAAAACACGGTTGAACAGGAGAAAGATTATATTCCAAAATAGCAAGGTTAAATGGAAATAAGAAGCCAAAAGGTGATGGCGAAGGCGAAGGCCCACAAATAGATACAACGTTAGTCTATTTATAGCATTTACATGAGAATGCTTCTGGATAGTAGTAATTCACGTGATCGGCTGGATTAGATTTAACCAATCAGCACGCAGCTAACAACAACACGAGAATTTTCTACCCTGTTCTGCAATAATCGATCGGGCGTTGATTGGATAGGAAATTAACCAATCAGCGCGCAGCAACGTAGCCATGCTTTGATTCCATCTATGTCCCACTAACAGTTAGGGATGTTAGATCACTAGAAGTCACTTGAACAAAGTTCTAATTTTTTAATTCTATTCGGGAATTTTGAATTTCTATGTTTTCGCGCCAAAGATGCCTAGTTGACCTTCAGCTTACATTTCCCACTCGGAAAATCATTGACTGTCATTGATTGATTGATTATTTTAGTACGACGCTATTTTTGTGGCTCTCACCAAGGAAGTTTCCATCATCGTATAAATAAGTTTGAGTTGTGTGCTTGTGAACCTCGTACTTTATGGGTGCTTGTAGAATACACTTTCTACGCCTTATTATGACCTCTTGCTTAGAATAGCCTATCGTTGTCACTATGTCATTGCTCTTCGTTCCGTTTACCGAGTAAGGTGAACTGGTAATAACATTCGTTTTGAAACCATGAATCGATCAATGTTAGACAATCATTAGAAGCCTGGCCGTTTCTTCCTGGTATGGGACTTATCAGCAGTGCACACCCACGACTCCTGCACCCCGCACGATTCGACCCCGGGACCTTCGGTATTGTACGCGAACGCCTAACCTCTGGACCATTGAGCCGGTATCTAACGGTGTTAATGTCTAACTTCACTCAGTTCACGGTATTGCACAACCTCATTCACAGTCTTCGGTAGCAGTTACTGTCTACACCTGAACAAGTTGAACTTCACTAGTCACAACTTCCCACTAGAACTCGGAGACGATTCCTCACGAAGCTAGTCACTATTGAGCACAGTGCTTCCAAGTTTCTAATGGTGGTCTAACAACATTGATCGATTCATGGTTTCAAAATGTGTAACTTAACAATCTTCACAACCCCATAATGCAATACCATTCAAACATATCAATTTAAGTGAACATATCGGTGATGAAATTTTGAATCTTTTGAACATTTTTCCCTCTGCTTTGTTTGTTTACTTGATATTACTAGTTAATAAATAATTCAATATGGTCGAATTTATTGTTCAATGTGAAAATTGTTTTTTTCACTGTCAATAGATGATCACATGTTGTATTGCAGTTAATTAGTTAGTTAGTTAGTTAGTTTTCCCATTATAACTAAAAACTAAAATTATTTGTTTGAATGAATAATTGAATCAATGATAAACTGTTCATTAGTATGGAAGTTACATTTCATTGCTTTATACATAATGGATGCAATCAATTATGGCTTGAACTGTCACATGATCGGGCGTGTGGGGGTTGGAAAATAATCTTTTGGGTGGAAAAATCAGAGTAATTAAACGAAATAAGTTTGTTTTTTTATTTTGTTCAACTGAGATTATTTAGAAAGATAAACAATTGAATTGTATGTTTGTACAATTGGTCATTAACTCTCAACTAGGTTGGAAGAAAGAGAGCAAATACTACTTACTCAGTTACGCCTGTTACCTCCATTTTGAGCATAAGCCGCTGACCAAGATTCTGAAACCAACTCCAGCCTGAACCTTCCTTTCCAGTTCTATCCATTTACTGTGCATTGTTTTTATGTCTGTCTTGATGTCAATCTTATGCCCTGACTCAATTATATGATTTCTATGGTTTTCTATTTCCAACGCTAATCGGCTCATCTGACATTAACTGATTTTGAAGCCACTTAGATACATGTTCCATAACCCTTGATTGAAAGGTCCGATTACTCCTCCCTATGTATATAAAATGCCTTGACAAGTGTGTGATATGTGTGACCAGATTGTTCGAACAATGTATAGCGCGCAAATACATTACACTATTTTTCAGATAAACTACATCTACTCATCATTGTTCTATCAAAATTTATAAAAGGGACTAATTGTTTTAAATGACTATGAATCCGAAATCATCAATCAATCATTGTTAGACCACCATCAGAAATCTGGAAGCACTGCAAGACGGCCGTTTCGTCCTGGTATGAGACTCATCAGCGACAGTGCGCATACACGACTCCTCCTCCCCCTCGCAGGATTCGAACCCGGGACCTTCGGTATTGTGCGCGAATGCCTAACCTCTGGACCACCGGGCCGGTATCCAACAGTGTTAATGTCTAACTCCGATTGATCTATGGATTTTGCGCGACCTCATCCATTTGTCTTCGGTGAGTAGTTTCTGCCTACACCCGACAGGGTTGAACTCCATAGGTCACGTCTTCTCAACTAGAACTTCGAGAATTTCCTCACGAAGCTAGTCACTACTAGTGACCACATTGTACGATATTTTCGGGCAGAGTTTTGGAGGTTTGTGTTTTTTACACATTTGAAATCATCAATCAATCATTGTTAGACCACCATTAGAAACCTGGAAGCAATGCAAGACGGCCGTTTCGTCCTGGTATGGGACTCATCAGCAGCGATGATTTCGAATGTGTAAAAACCACAAACCTCCAAAACTCTGCCTTAAAATAACTATGAATCGTTTGTCTCGATAACTCGGTAGTATATTACCACTTCACTTATACTGTTTGTCATAATGCAGATTAAATGTCCTACCAATAGAAAGGTGTATCAGTGGTCCGAAGTTAGAAAATTCTTGAACAAGAAAGACTAAGGGTCTTGTGTATGTGCCCAAATGTGTGAGTGTCGTAGATCCCATACTAGGGATGAAAAAGCTATTGACATTCTAGTGATTTCCAATAACTTTTCAACAAAAAATCAATATCGAAATGTTAACGCTGAAAAAACATCAAATTTGATCTAAAAACTTACACAGTTAAAGTTTCAATTATTTTATTCATTATTTAACAATGAATATCATATTTAAATCATGAATAATTCATTGGTAGATCGCCATTAGAAACCTGGAAACACTGAAAGACGGCCGTCTCGTCCTGGTGCATGAGACTCATCAATAGTGCTCATCCATGACTCCTGATACTTGAAGAAATCGAACATGGGATCTTCGATCTTGCACGTGAATGCCATTGAGTCTGCATCCAATCGTATTATTGTTTAACTCTAATCAATCTAAGGATATAGCGCAAACTCAGCCATTGTGCAAGGGTTCGAATATTCAGAGTATCAGGAGTCATGGATGCGCACTGTCACTGATAAGTCCCATACCGGTACGAAAGGGCCATTTTTCAGTGCTTCCAGGTTTCTAATGACGGTCTAACAATGATTCATTTATGATTTCGATGTAAAGTAACAATCTCCATAACTTACTTACTTACTCCTGTTACCCCCATTGGAGCATAGGCCGCCAACCAGTTTTCTCCAACCAACTCTGTCCTGGGCTTCCCTCTCCAGTTCTGTCCAATTTTTGTTCATTCCTCTCATATCTTTCTCTATTTCTCGGCGTAATGTGTTCCTTGGCATTTCTCTTTTCCTATTGCCTTGAGGGTTCTATGTGAGGGCTTGTCTTGTGACGCAGTTCGGTGCTTTTCGTAGTGTGTGTCCTATCCACCAACTCCACCGCTTCTTCCTGATTTCCTCTTCCACTAGAATCTGGTTTGTTCTCTCCAACAGTATGTTGACGCTGATTATGTCTGGCCAACGAATCCGAAGTATTTTGTGTAGACAACTGTTAATAAACACTTGTATCTCTTGGATGATGGCTTTGGTGTAGTTCTCCAAGTTTCCTCTCCATACAGTAGAACTATCGTCACATTTGTATTGAAAATGCTGATTTGGGTTTTGTTTGAAAGTTGTTTGGAGTTACAGATATTTCTCAACTGTAGAAATGCAACCCCTGCTTTGCCAATTCGCGCCCTTACATCTGCATCGGATCCACCTTGATTGTCGATGATGCTGCCAAGATATGTAAAGGTGTTAACGTCCTCCAAGGCATCTCCATCAAGAATGATTTGGTTAGTGCTCCATAACTCTATGGTGGAAAGAAGATTATTATTATGAATAATATTTTTTACGATTTGATAGTGATTAAGTTCCGATATCCAACTGAATTTAATGTGTTTTTCTTTGGTTTTACATTTCAGATCCTCATAAAACAATCGATACAGAATCGGATTCATCAAGTGTAAGTTTGTCAACAACACGTATCCTTTGTATGAAAAAAAATGTTCTGTTACGTATGTACCTGACCACGTCAGGTTAATATGCTTGCACCACTACGTGTTCACCTTAGTCAGCAAACGAGAGTGATTATCGAGGATCCGGCGACACGACAGGCTACTCCACTCCGAGTGTCCCAACCCACCATTGAGTAAAACAAGAAGACTTGATATGAAGTAGAACATGTATTCTAAACACATCGAGAAAGTACGAGGTCCGAGTTCAGAAGAGAATCAGGATCTCGGACTAAGGATCCGGATCCAGGTCATAAAACGTTACAGATAATGTGTATTTATACAGTTAAGTCGAATAGGAAACAACATTTGAAGCATGTGACATTGATAGTTAGGACAACCAATAGGATTTGACCAATAGAATTAGACTTAAAAACAATACTCTTAGGTTATTGGATGAATATCCTAACATGTTCTAATCTAATTTATGAATTTGCAAAAAAATGTAGCGCACTATATATATTTTTTCTGTTGTGTTGAAAAAATTAAAAAGGAAGATGAAATATTTTTGAAGATTATTGAAATTTTATTGAAATCATGAATCAATCATTGTTAGATCACTATTAGAAACCTGTAAGCGATGTCAGTCAACACTCTTTACAATCTTATCATGAAAAGTATCATGCGCTCACTAGGGACTAACTTCATGAAGAAATTCTTGTAGTTTCAGTGATGAGTCGTAACCGGAGCACTTCAACTGAGTCGAGTGTGAGGCAGTTATCCACCGCAGACAATGGATGAGGTCGCGCAATACCGAGGATTGATCGAAGTTAGACATTAACACCATTGGATGCCGACTCGATGTTTTAAGAGATGAAGACTTCATGTGCGAGATCGAATCTCCTGGGTTCGATTCCGCCCAGCGGGTATCATGGTTTGCATATTACTGATTTCAGTCAGTCAGTCAGTCAGTCAGTTGCAACTTGGAACTACGTACGTATGTATGTAAGTTCATGTTGCCATACCACATTAGCACAAAGACGCAAATGTCAAATCAAATCTCATAGTCATAAAGATAGTAGAGGTATTAATGATAATGAAGAACGATAGGGTTCAAAGATATTATTCAAGAAGTATAATAATTCAGTGAGATAAGGTTAGAAAGACAAAGGTAGAGGTGCTGATGAATCCAGAAGATTAGGATTTGAGAGAGCTCAAAGAGTGGATGCACCTGCGCCATTGCAAACGATTTTGAGCCATGTAATTCAAGGTCTCTAACGATTGGTGACTTTCGTCTCGCGGATCCCAACCAGGTAGCCTACATCTACCAACATGACTCAGTCCACTTGTCAGTGACTTCATGGATTCGTGCCATGTTTTGGTTTGGCCAGCCCTAACTTTCTTCCAACCTACTTCTACACCACAAAACATAGCTCGTCGAGGCAGTCGGTGGTTAGGCATACGTAACACATATCCCAACCACCTCAACTGATGAAGGTTCACCACTTCATCTTTTGATCTTCCATCCTTACCTAGTACCCGTTTCTTAACGACAGTACGAGCAATGCTTCGGAGACATCTATGATCGAATACTAGTAACCTACGAACATCTTCTACTCTTACTGGCCATGTTTCACAGCCATATAGGAGAACGGAGCGAACTGCTGCGCAGTACACTCGTCCTTTCATGAGCGAACGGATATCACGCCTACGCCATATGTGACGCAGGTGGGCAAAATCAAAAAATCGAGCTTTCTGTATCCGCGTTACTGATTTCATCCCGGGACGAAAATGACCATCCAATGCTTCCAGGTTTCAATCTATCATCTACCTATGTTCAGATTCCTTGAATTAATCATCCGAAAAAATCTTTAGAAAGTACATTATCAATCTTATCCAATAAGATGCATTGATTGATTACTTTTAACCTTGAAAATATTTACACCATATGAGCAGACGTATAGGCAGCCATATGATTTGTATCAGTTAGTTAGTCCAACCAATCAGATTATGATGACGAAAAGTATAAAAAATCATGATCATTTTTCCCTTAAAAAAAATAAAAATGAGGATGAATCAATCTTTCATGTTGTTTTAAATGAATTTTAAAATTTATCATCCAGTATGTAATGTTTATCTCTTATATTTTCTAATATATATAAATATACTGTTTTACAAGTTTGTATCAATTCAATGAAATATTTGTGTATGCTGTATGGATATTATGAAATAAATCCTACAGGATGACATTCATCATGACACTGGAACTTGTCTACTATCGAAAACAATGAGTGAGGTTGCGTAAAATCCTTAGATTCATTCAAGTTATATATTACCATGGTTGGCTGCTGGTTCTGTCGCCTAGAGGTTAAACATATGCACGCGAGATTGAAGGTTTTGGTGTTCGATTCCGGCGAGTGGAGGTCATTATTCATGAATCTTCTCAATCATCCCCAAGTTCTTTGAAAGTTAACTTTGAAATCATCAAAAGAATTGATGTTTCATTTTTGGGATTGGGAACTGTATTATTTCTTGTAAATTGTTATAAATGCTTTCTTGTAACTATTTGGATCGTCAGTGATATCGTTTAGGATTAACAGATTCCTAAAAATGAAACAATCATCTATCCAATCATCAGTTAACAAGATCATCATCCCTTATCATGTTGTTGATCTGTGTAGGAATCGTGTTCTCATTTTTGGGAATCGAATATTCGAACTCTTTTTTCTTAATTTTGTATTGTGTGTTAAAACGCATTGAAATCATGAACTAATCATTGTTAGACCACCATCAGAAACCTGAAACTACTGAAATACAGCCGTTTCATCCTAGTTTGGGACTCATCAGCATTGCGTATCTACGACTCCAGGACCTTCAGTTTTGTGCGGGAACGCTTAGCTACTGGGCCAGTGAGCTGGCATCCAAAGCGGTCATTGTCTAACATTGGCCTGTCTAGGAGTTCTATACAACCTCACCCGTTGTCTTTGGTAGTTACTGCCTACATCCAACTGTATTGAACTCCATTGGTCACGTCCTTCTCATTTTTTCTTACTTACTTAATAGCTGATTCATGTTCATTGATCATAATTTTCACATAGATTTTCTCATGATCAATTTTTTCTTTAATTTTCAGGTATTCTCTAGCAGTGGTAAGTGAATTATAAAAATTGTCAGTATTGATTTATTTAATCATAGAAATAATATTGATTATTGAAAATTCTCAATTTTCCCATAAAATTGTTTTAATAAATTAGATTTAAGTGTAGATCTAACTGATGAATTTTGAATAGGTTGAATAAACGTTTTGAATTTTATTGATCGCCATACTACTTGTGTTAGGGGGATATAGATGGAATTAAAGCATGACTACGTTGCTGCGCGCTGATTGGCTAATTTCCTATCCAATCAACGCCTGATCGATTCTTGCAGAACAAGGTAGAAAATTCTGGTGTTGTTGTTAGCTGCATGCTGATTGGTTAAATCTGATCCAGCCGATCACGTGAATTACTACTATCCAGAAGCATTCTCATGTAAATGCTATAAATAGGCTAACGTTGTATCTATTTTTGCCTTCTTTGCCTTCGCCATCACCTCTGGCTTCTTCTCTCCATTTAACCTTGCTATTTTGGAATATAATCTTTTCCTGTTCAACCGTGTTTTTTGATTCTTTGGAACTTGTCCAGTGTATTGTTTGTGGTCAGAGAATACACTGAGCAATAGGATTTAGCTGGGAATTATCTAAGCAGGCATTACAACAACTTGATTACTAACACTTGTTATCCCTAATAGAGCATACATAGGCTACCGACCAAGATTCGGCAACCAACTCCATCCTGGGCTTTCGTGTCTAGTTCTATCCAACTGTTGTTCATTCTTCTCATGTCTGTCTCCGATTTTCCGTGTAATGTGTTCCTTGCCCTTGAGGATTCCAAGTGAGGGCTTGTTTCCTGATGCAGTTAGGCGCTTTCCTCAATGTGTGTTCTATCCCTTTCTAACGTTTCAAAGTGGCCAATTGAGAAAGTCATTTAATGACCTTCAGAAAACGGCCTAAAGGGTGAATTCATGTGATTGGTTAAGAAATCGATTTAATTTCTAAAGGGATAGGGCCATATTTTCATAATACTCGGTAGCCAAAGAAAACTTTGTCTTCCATTCTTTGCTGCTAGCTGAAGTAAAGAGTTTAAAGAGGTTGGTACGTATTAAGTTCAGATTTTGGACACTGTATAGCATAACAGATTTCTTCCAAGTGTAGTAAAGAAGAACACAGGTGAGGGCAACCGAACTGTATTTATCTGAAATTACATAGTTAATTGGTAACATAGAAAAACCATATCGTAAATCGTTAATTTGCATCATATCGAACTGGACTGTTCCTGTTGCAAAAAAACATCAATCCATTGTCTGACATTTCACTGTTCATGCGTTTCAGAAACAGAAATTCCATTGTCTTCCCACTCTTCCTTTCTCTTGATCTTCCCCCATCCCCTTCCGCTGCCAGACATTACGTTTTTACTCGCGTCATATACTATTTATAAGTAGCTTGCACCACACAAGTAGTATTTACTTCAGACACAAAATCATTAATACTGAATTCATGAGCAAAGCGTACTGGATAAAAATAGCCAACTATTTGTGAAAATAAGGGCCATTAATGGATTGATGTGGTTGGAACACGTATCACACTGATAGAGAGATGCATGTCATCTAATATTAAAGTCACGTCATTATTTTAATTAAAGATTGAAAAAGTTTCATGACGTAACTTGGAGTCCATCATACTTATATCAGTAATACATTCAATATACAATTGTATCAAATGTAATAAAGGAAGACGTTAGGACCAGATGGAATAAGTGGTTTATTGAAAGAAGACACAATTTAATAGCAGAATATGTACACCTTATCTACAGATTTCTTGACCATCTTCTTCTACATGTCTACCACTTTGAATCGAATCCAACACTTCACTTCAGCAGTAACTTCTGGTTGACACTACGCGACTTACTCACTTGTAAGCTAAGTTACAAGTCAGTCAGTCAGTTACAACGTAAAGCTAGATACGTCCGTAAGTTCATCAATTCAAGGTACCATACAACATTAGCACACACAGAGATCGAATTGTCAGGTCAAATCCCATAGTAGTGGTAGACTTAGTAGAACTATTAGTGATGATCAAAAAGATTAAGGTTTTAAGATATGATTCGAGAACTACAATTCAGTCGTCTAATCAACTTAACAGAAGTGAAGAAAGGTGATGAAGAATTCAGTAGGTTCGAATTTAAGAGAAGAGAAAGAATGGATGCGTCTTCGCCAATGCAAACGAATTTGAGCCATGTCTCGCAGACCCCAATCAAGTGGTCTATACCTACCAACATGGCTCAGTGCAGTTGTCAATGACTTTCTGAATTTCTGCCATGTTTTGAATTGGCCGTCTCTAGCCTTCTTCTAGGATACCACCACATAGATTTTTAAGCTTTTACAACCAATTGTCATTATATTTTACTAATAATGGCCCATAGATTAGTTCTGATCATCACTTATCAATTATTATGTTACACTATTTTTCTTTTTAGGCCCACCAAGACCAATTTCATCAAAAGTTGGATCATTTCAAAATGCAAAACATAAACCTGGAGGAGGAAATGTAAGTTTTGTTACTTTGATCGTTTTTGACCTTGACCCATTTCTTTTTCTATCTCTCTCTACAATCAAAATACAAGTCAATGATCATTCTGTGAGTTTATGGTGAGCATGACAATCGTAACCGATGGTTAGAGACTTTGAATAACATGGCTTAAAATCGATTGAACTGGTGCAGGTGCATCCCAATTTTTTGTCTCCTGGCTGATATTTTAATCTTTTGTCTTCCTCAAGCGTCCTACAATAGTTGTTTTCCTGGACCTTAAGGCGGCATTTGACTCTGTGGATCGTGAGGTTCTCTGGCAGTGTCTGTCACTGAAAGGTGTACCAAATAAGTACATTAACCTCATACAAGCTCTCTACTCGAACACCACTGGTCGAGTGAGAGCTTATGGCGAACTGTCACCGGAATTCTTTACTTCAAGTGGTGTCCGTCAGGGATGTCCACTTTCTCCATTTTTGTTTAATTTATCCTCGTCTGAATTTTCAGGAGTAGACCTTCTACCAGGTGGCTCGCTTATCGACTTAGAATATGCCGATGACATTGTCCTACTTGGTGAAGACGCTGACAAAATGCAGAGTCTTCTGACTACCCTAAGCAACAATGCAAGCATGTTCGGGATGTGGTTTTCCCCCTCGAAATGCAAAATGTTGCTTCAAGATTGGGTTTCATCGGCACCTGAACTAGTGATAGGGAGTGAAGTAGTCGAACGTGTAGACCGCTTCACTTATTTGGGGAGTCTCATCAGTGCCGATGGCCTGGTGACTGACGAAATCTCGGCATGGATACAGAAGTCTCATCGTTCTCCAGTCGACCTGTCTGGCATGGTAGAACCTTGAGGAACATATGTTCCAGCCAGTATAGCTCGGTTGGGTCATCACGATAGGCAAGCCCGACCACCACGTCAAGGTAGCAGCTACGGTCGGGTATCTCACTGAATAATACTTCTTGAATAATATCTTTGAAACCCTAATCTTCTCCATTACCGCTAATACTTCTACTATCTCCAACACAAAATGGGATTTAAATTGACTATTATGCTCGTCACTAAGTATGCTTGAGGCTATTACGAGCTTACCTTAGTCGATAAACGCGAACGAGACTTTTACCGGCGTCCAGGTGGACTACGTTGAATCCGAGGCTGAAGTGAAAAGGCTTTGTAAGAGTAGAAAGTTTATTCTACAAACACCCAGCGATCACAGTACAATCAACCATACAACTCTCGTTTATTTATACTACATAGAAACGTTCTTGGGACAGTTCAGAAAATAGCGCACTAAAATACACAGCAGTCAATCACAGCCATGGATTTTCATGGTGGGAAATGAAATCTCAAGGTCAACTGATCAGCCCATGCTGGCAAACGTGGAATCTAAAATAAGGCAGTTAACAAGCGAATTTTGGGGATCTAACATCCCCAACATTGACAATTGCATCTGTCTGTGCTAATGTAGTATGACAACTTGAAGTTTGATGTACGTAAGCTCGTACAAAGTTCTAAGTTGTAGCACAAAATTCCTTTTTCAATGCACACTGTCTTGAATGGTACTTTTTCAAACCTTGTGAAACAAAAGCTCGTTAATCATCATGTCTACGCATCTGAATAGATTATCCTGTTCATAGATATGATTGATAACGTTGTAGCACAAAGAAAAAACTGGTAACTTGTTGACATATAAGCAGATACCCGCATTGACTTGTCTAGTATAATGATAGTTCGGTCAGTTGAAATTACAAACACCTGACTGAATTAAATATACAACTGTTAGTTGTGTTACATTTTATTGCAATGAAGAATAGTAAGTAATTATGAATAAAAAGGAGCACTTGTATCGATTGTAAATAATCGAAAATGTTATTACGTACAATCGTGTACAAACAAATGAAGAAGTTTTCATTATAGAAATTGTTGTTGAATCGATCATTGTTAGACTGTGTTAGCATATTCATCCAATATCCTAAGACAATTAATTATTGGTCAATTCCTATTGGTCCATTCCCATTGGTCAAAATTATGGTCGTTTTAATTGTCAAAGTCAAATACTTCAATGTTGTCTCTTATTGGTCACCCGGACTGTCAATGTCATTTCGAATGTTACTTCCTATTGGTCGTCTTAACTCTCAATGTCACAGACTTCGATGCTGTTTGTCATTCGACCAAAATGTATAAATACGCATTATCTGTAATGTTTTATGGCCCGGACCCGGATCCCTAGTCCGGGATCCCTATTCTCTTCTGGACTCGAACCTCGTACTTCTGGATGTTTGTAGAATACACGTTCTACTCCGCATTCAAGTTTCCTTATTTTTACTAAAAATGGGGTTTGGGATAATCGGATTTGAGTATCATGTCGTGTCACCGAATCTTCGATCCTCGCTCTCGGTTTCCGACTACTAGGGAAACTCGTAATAGTTCAAGTATATCAAGTTGACGTGTTTACGTGCAGGCATAACATAGACTACTGGCCATTAGAAACCTAGTTTCATTGAATGACGGCCGTTTCGTGTTGGTATAGGACTCACTGGTGACAGTGTGCATTCACGACTCCTACTACTCGTAAGATTCGAACGGAGGACCAACGGTCTACCCTCTGGTTTTATAATCACGGGTTCTGTGTAATTTTGATATAAAATAAATCGGTCAGTTAACTGATGCAAATATTCACACTTATTGATTGTATCGATCAAGAAATTAGTTAAAGGGTTAGACCAGATCACTTTTGTTTTTAATTCAAAAATCAACTTTATATATATATATATATATATATATATATATATATATATATTCTTGTTACGCCTGCACGTAAACACGTCATCTTAATATGCTTGAACTATTACGAGTTTACCTAGTCAGAAAACGAGAGAGAGGATCGAGGATCCGGTGACACGACATCCTACTCAAATTCGATTATCCCAACCTCCATATTTAGTAAAGATAAGAAGACGTGATATGAAGTAGAACCTGTATTCTACAAGCATCCAGAAAGTACGAGGACCCAGTCCAGAAGAGAATCAGGATCCCATGCTACGGATCCGGGACCGGGTCATAAAACGTTACACATAATGCATATTTATACATTCCGGTCAAATGAGAAACAGCATTGAATTCTATGACATTGACAGTTAAGACGACCAATAGGAAGCGACATTTGAAGTGACATTGATATTCAGGATAACCAATAATAAAACAACATTGGAGCACGTGACATTGATATCTACTAGGACGACCATAAAATTGACCAGTAGAAATATTAACCAATAGGAATTGATCAATAATTAATTGTCTTAGGATATTGGATCATTATCCTAACAATCCTATTCCCATTTTTTTGGCTGAAACATGAATTTCCAATACGATTACAAATATTTTACCATCATGAATGGTGATTTATTTCTTCACGTTGAAGTCTACATTGGTCACAATTTCATTGAAATCCACATTAGTACATTATTAGAAATCTAGAAGCACTGGAAGGCCGTTTCATTCTAATATGAGACTCAACTGTATCGAGTATGAGGCAGAGGTTGGTTACTCCGAGAAGATGACAGATGATGGTTGATTGAAGTTAGACATTACCACTGTTGGTTACCTGACTCAAGGGTCTAGAGGTTAGGTGTTCGTGTGCAATACCAAAGGTGTTATGTTGGATCCGAGCATGCAGGATGATCAAAGTGCACTGCTAATCAGTCCCATACAAGATTGAAAATGTTGTCCATCGCTTCCAGGTTTCTAATGTTGGTTTAACAGTGGTCGATTCATGTTTTCCATGAAACTCACCAACCTAAAATAAAAACACTATAATGACACTTCATAATTGTCTATCATTGATCAGATGGTCATTTCATTGAAGTGATAATCTTCTGTCATGATAATTTGAATATTGAACCCTTCATTTTATATTATAAATTTGTTTTGAATCAACTGGTCATAATTTAAAATTCCTATACATATACATATATCTCGATTGACTTTTTGATTTGTTGTGTCAGTTATGGTGTATAAAGAGAATACCCGTCTGCTAACCAAAAGGATGAGTCTACTGTGAAGCAGTTCGCTCTGTCCTTGTGTACAGGTATGAAACATGGCCAGTCAGAGTAGAAGATATTTGTAGGTTACTAGTATTCGATAGTAGGTATGTCAGAAGTATCGTTCGTGTATCCTGAGACTATCGAGTAAACAGTGCTGATGTTAGGATAAGAGTACTAAAGAAGGATGAAGTAATGAATCTTCGTCAGTTGAGGTGGTTGAGACATGTGTTGCGTATGCCTTAACCACCGAATGCTACAACGAGCGGTGTTTTTTTGATGTAGGGGTAGGCTGGAAGAAAGCTAGTGGTGACCAAGCCAAAACATGACACAAATCCATGAATTCATTGACAACTGAACTGAGCCATGTGAGTAGACGTAGACTACGGCAGTTGGGGTCCGCGAGACAATAGTAACTGATGGTTATAAACTTTGTATGACATGGCTCAAAATCGTTTGCAATGGCGCAGGTACATTCATTCATTGTGTTCTCTATAATTTAAATCTTCTGAATTCCTTATCAGCTTTATCTTTCTCTTTTCACTGAGATATACTCTTTTCGAATCAGATCATCGAGCCCTAATCTTTTCACATTCCCTCTAATATTGCTTATACTCACTTGTACTACATACAGTTCACTCACTACCTGACAATCTCATCTATCTAAGCTAATTAGGGGGAGATCACCATTCATTTGAACTGATCTACCTAAATATCAACAGTTTGTACATTGTAATTGTCTTGGATTTGTTTTAATCAATCAATCGATGTACAGATTATAAGCTCCATTTTGATTTTATTGTCCTTCATCATCTAAAATATTTTTTTTGGGGGGGGGGTGTTTTCGTTTGTGTGTATATTACAACTTTATCTGCACACACACAGGCACACATGTGAGTGTGTTTGTGTGTGTGCAAGTCAGTGTACTTCGTCAGGAAGAGTTACAAACAGTGTGTTTTTCGTCGGTTTTAATTAATGTAAACACTAAAACAGATTCAGATATATACATGCCATGTTTCTAACATTATTTTTGTGTGTGTTCAAAAACCAAAATTTTAGGTGTGTGTGTGTGTGTAGGTGCATTTTCTGTTTCATTTACTTTTACAGGTACAAATTTTCAATGAAAAAGTTGTATTGAATACAGTAACAGGAAAGTGTAATTCATTGGCCAATGTCAAGCATAAACCAGGTATATTTTTATTGAAGTGTTATATTTCTATGAGTTGTTGCGTATGTATGTCTGTCGGTGTTCTACTACTGCTACTGTAGTGAAGGAGAACACAGGTGAGGGCAACCGAATTGTATTTAACGAAAATTACAGAGTTACTCAGTATCAAATAGGAAAATCATATCGTAAATCGTTGTTAATTTGCAAATCTTCAATCCATCATTAATCCATTGTCTGACATTTCACTCACTATTCATGCGTTTCATACAAATTCCATTTTTGTGTTCACACTCTTCTTACTTTCTTGATCTTCCCTCATCCTCTTCTGCTGCCAGACATTACGTTTACACTCACGTCATATACTACTTATAAGTAGTGCGCACCACGGTGATACTATTTGATAGCTATACACTGCACTTGGTCTGTGTGATCTGAAAATGTGTTTTCCGACTAATGACTTAATATAAATCATGCAGGTATTTGAATGATACTGGAGTTAACATTAGTGAATCAAATGTTTTCGAACTAATCTTATGGGAATTGTATTCATTTGAACTATGATGTCACAGGTTTATTTACTCACTTACTTATGTTTGTTACTCCTCCACCCCCCGCTGAAGTATGGACCGCTGACTAGCATTCTACATTCTCCATTTATCGGTTCATTGACCTTCTTCATTTCTTTTGGCCTTGAGGAGTCGGAGTGAGGGCTTACCTTGTGTCGTCGCATTTGGGTGCTTTCCTCAATGTGCAGCCTATCTTTCTGATTTCTTCCTTTGATGGAATCTGGTTTGTTCTCTTCCACAGTAGGTTGGCCAACACATCTGAAGTATTTTGTATAGACATTTGTTAATAAACACTTGCATCTCCTGGATGATGGCTTTTGTAGTTTTCCAAGTTTCGGCCCCATACAGGAGAACTGTTTGGATATTTGTTACGCTTGTCTCTAGGTATACTCAAACTATAACGAGTTCACCTTAGTCGAATAACGAGAACAAAACAATGAACCAGAAGTCCAGGTAGGCTACTGTGATTCCTTCACCAAATTGAATCAGTAAGAAGTTTTGATATAGTGTAGAAATTGTTGTATTCTACAAACACCCAGCCAGCACACAATCAATCCAAGCATTCAAATTGCGTTAAATTTATACTCTATAGAGACGTCCTTGTGACAGTCACAAAAATAGCACACACTAAAATGACACAGTAACCAATCACAGCCAGAGATTTTCCTGATGGGAAATGTAATCTCAAGGTCAACTGATCGGTCCATGAAATAAATTCAAAATAAAGATATTATTTATCAAGCGAGTTCTTGGGATCTAACATCCCCAGCAATATTTGTATTGAAAATTCTGACTTTGATGTTGGTTGATAGTTGTTTGGAGTTCTAGATGTTCTTCAACTGTAGAAATGCCGCTCTTGTTTTGCCAATCCGTGCCTTCACATCTTCTGTATCAGGTCCACCGTGTTTGTCAATGATGCTGCACAGATTTGTAAAAGTATCTATATCAATATGATGCACACTGCTTATGATAAAACCTTTTTAAAGAGTGGATCCAAACACTTTGAAACTTCCCATAAAAAAAGGCCATCCGGTACCGCGGCCTCAAGCAGTTGTCGTTTGGGCTCTATGATCAACTTTGCCAAGTTACAAAGACCAACATTAATTCAACTTGGTTTTCAGCTTTCTCAATATACACTCTTCCATGGTGTGGGCAATCGGGATGTGACATCCATTCCTTATACCCGTAACATTACATGCTATCAACTTGATCCTGTTCATCATTTAAGATCTTAAACAAAGTATAACTGTTTAGATCTTGACATACAACCTAATAACTTTTCAAAGAATCAACAAAAGTACATCAATAGACTAAATACCATGAAAATTACATTACGCAAATTCACAACTCCTGATCAACCCAGACATTCAATGATCAATCAGTTTAAATATCTTAGTAGAACAGTGGGTCGCTTGTTGTCTAACTGGATCAGTTATAACATTTTCGACTATGAAAGTGAATGACACATAATTGAATCTCATATAGAGACCACACCTTAGTGATGAGTATCAATCTGAACGAAACCGCGGATGGACAACGTTCATTGTTCATTAACTCTATTCAGTTTAATATTGAATTATGAAATTCTGGAAGAAATCTAGAGTCGATCAGACCAAAACATGGCACAAATCCATGAAGTCGCCGACAGCTGGATTGAGCCATGTTATTAAGTGTATAATGGTTTGTTGAAGTTCACAAGACAATAGTATATAGTGGTCACAGATCCTGAATTACCTACTTTACTTAATTACGCCTGTTACACCCAATAGATCGTAGGCCGTCAACCAGTTTTCTCCAACCAACTCTGTCCTGGGATTTCTTCTCCAGTTCTGTCCAATGTTTGTTCATTCTTCTCATATCTTTCTCTATTTCTCGGCGCAGTGTGTTCCTCGGCCTTCCTCTTTTCCTTTTGCCTTGAGGGTTCCATGTGAGGGCTTGTCTCGTGAAGTCGTTAGGTACTTTTCGTAGTGTGTGTCCTATCACCAACTCCACCGCTTCTTCCTGATTTCCTCCTCCACTGGAATCTGGTGTATTCCTTTCCACAGTAGATTGTTGCTGATGATGTCTGGCCAACGAATCCGAAGTATTTTGCTTAGACAACTGTTAATAAACACTTGTATCTTCTGGATGATGGCTTTGGTAGTTTTCCAGGTTTCCGCTCCATACAGTAGAACTGTCTTCACATTTGTATTAAAAATCCTGATTTTGGTTTTGGTTGAAAGTTGTTTGGAGTTGCAAATGTTGTTCAACTGTAGAAATGAAACCCTTGCTTTGCCGATTTGCGCCCTCACATCTGCATCGGATCCACCTTGATTGTCGATGATTCTGCCCAGATATGTAAAGGTGTTAACGTCCTCCAAGGCATCTCCATCAAGAGTGATTTGGTTGGTGCATGTTGTGTTGCATCAGAGAATTTTGCTTTTTCCTTTATGTATGTTGAGACCTATTGCTGCAGAGGTTGCTGCTACACTGGTCGTCTTCTCTTGCATTTGTTGTTGCGTGTGCGATAGAAGAGCCAGATCACTCGCGAAGTCCAGATCGTTCAGCTGCATCCTAACTGTCCAGTTGATACCGTGCTTCCCTCTAGATGTCGACGTCTTCATAATTTAGTCGATCACCAGATCCTGACTGACATAGCTCAAAATCGTTTGCGATGGCGTATGTGCATCCAATCTTTGTGTTCTCCCAAATTGTCATCTAAATTCCTCATCGCTTTTGTCTTTCTCTCGTAAAATTGATTTCACCAGATTCAACTTCTTGAATAATATCTTCCAACTCTAATCTGTTTGATTACAGCTTATACTGTAGTCAATGAGAACACAGGTGAGGGCAATCGAATTGTATTTTACGGAAATTACAGAGTTATTCAGTAAAATAGGAAAACCATATCGTAAACCGTTGTTAATTTGCAAATCTTCAATCCATCATCAATCCATTGTCTGACATTTCACTCACTGTTCATGCGTTTCATACAAATCCTATTTTGTGTTCCCACTCTTCCTTTCTCTTTCTTGATCTTCCCCCATCTTCTGCTGCCAGACATTACGTTTACACTCACGTCATATACTACTTATAAGTAGCGCGCACAACAATACTTCTACTACCTCTACCACTATATGATTTGAATTGAAAATTGAGTCTCTTTTTACTAATCTGTCATAGTAACTTGAACTAATATACATAAGTATGAAAACCATAAAGCACAAGACGAAATTTTCATCCTGATATAA